TTCTGGTGGAACGCACGGGAGAGCTTCGTGCAGGTGTACGTCGAGTGGCTGCCTGAGGACAGGCAGTAGCCACACCAATCCGCCATGGGGTCTTGGCCTTGGGTGCCCCAGGGTACGGTGACCGCTTGTCCGTAGCCTTCTCGCTGGCTGGCGCCATCGCGAAAGGCCGGAAGTGCCAATGCACTAGACCGCGTTGTCGCGGTCGCGGTTGCCGAGCCATGCACCGGTGCAGCCGCGGCGATCGGCGCTGGGCCGAGGTAGTGCGGGTACTTGGTGACCAAGCCCGGCCAGTGTTGCTCGAGCAACTGGCGCATGTTCTTGTATGGGATGCTCGGCTGAGCGCCGCGCCATACGAACAGGTCTGGAGCGATGCACTCGGGTAGTGCCGCCAGGAGGGCCGAGGCTAAGTGGCTATCGCTGAGGGGTCGCCCTTCCAGCTTCTCCACTGCCGTTCGCATCTTGTCGAAGGCTTGGACGTTGACGTCCAACGACACGTGAGGCTTGAACTTGAACGTGTGTTACCGTTGGTAAACGGAGATGGCCGTTGCATGTTTTTGTTCGTCGCTGGAAAATTTCCGCCGAAGCGACGAAATAATGCAATGCGCACATTCGTCGCGAATCCCGGTCAAACTTGACCGTGGGGGACAAGGAGGCGTAGACCAGCGCGCATGAGCGCGCGATGGCCGTCTTCTCCAGCTTGATCAACTCATCCACGTGGTTGCGGATGGATTTCGCGATCGCTTCGTCCGTCGAGCGGTTGTCCGCGAGCCACTCGGTAAGCTCCGGACCCAGTGGTGGGTGGGCGTCAAGTGTGAGTGGTGGGAGAGGGGGTGAGCCGGCAGGCAGTGCTACCGCTTCGGCTTGGTGCTGCCGTATGCGCTTGCAGTCATTGAGTAGCACCTTGTAGGCTCGACGGAGTCCCTTCATGGACGTGGCCGTCTCGACTTGCGCGCAGTCAGTCGCCATCTCGGTGAGATCCTCACCGGCAAGGATGACGGAAGTGAGTTCAAAGAACCACTCGTCGAAGTTCTCGGCGCCGAGGAGGCGCTGCGTGAACGGTAGGGCCGCGCGAGAGGTAGCGGGTGGAAGGCTCATAACCAGTTGGAAGTACACTAGGCAGGAGCAGGCACTTGGCAGACAGAAGGAATAACTGGAAGTGAATTACTTCTGACTGGAAAGAACCAGCCAATCAAAACTAACTATGATTGATCACGACATCCAATGATGTTCCGTGACCAAATGTCTGCGCTGACTTCTACTCGGAGGAAAAGCCTCTAGAAGGCACAAAAACCTCCTACACAGCTAGCAGACGCTGCTACCTGACTGACAGGGCAGTGGGGATGTTCTCTATGAGAACAGGGTGTTCTGACTTATTCCTAAAAAAAGGTACCGTACGAAGTACAGTAGTACAAGTTATGCGAAAACGATCATGGCAGCGTTATTGTCAGTTACACAACAGCGTAACCGATACGAACTATAAGGTGGCGAATCTGGCAGAGTTACACAACGCTTTACCAGGCGCATTAGCCTGTTCAACTTCACAACTTTATTACATACTATAATAGTACCGGTTTGTGAATCAGTTGTTGGATGAGGCATTCCAGAAACGAATACTAGTATTCGGTCATATTATCCGTTACTAGTACACAACTTCGTAACTGATACGAACTCCAAGGTTGCAAATTTGGCAGTACGCATAGGCGAACCTTACACAACCAACGGCATCAGCAACAATAATCGCTCGTTGGGTCGAAGGGTTTGGGGGTCGCCGCTCCGTCGAGCCCTATCCTCCAACTAAACAATTTGTGTCAGGCTATTTGGGGGTCACATTAGCGTGTATGGTTTGGCATGGGGTGGTCTTGGCCCCGTGGCTCACCAACGCGACCTGTACTGGGCAATTTAAAACCACACGGGGGTGCATGATCTTCTTTATCGAACTCGTGAATGTGCAACTGTAGGCAGTCTCCCCCCTCCTCCATCATCGGCGTTGTGGTGCTGGCACCGGATTATTCGATTGCGCCGAATATTCCATGAATCGACCTACGGTCGCATGTTGCTGGTGCCCAAGCTGCGTTCGTTGGGTCCAGGCATCGGCGACCTCTGCAAGACGTCGACGGTCGTCCTCACGTCCATCTACGCCCAGTATTATTATTCTGTGGCTTTGGACCGACGTTGGGACATTGTCCATTCCCTAGGTCGAGCTCGTCATTGTTTGATGAATTCCAAGGACAAAGCCGCGAATTACTTCGAATTGACCCTTCGGGACACGGATTGGGCCAACTTTACGAAGTCGTGGGACGTAGCGATTGCGCAGGCGTTGGAGACGTCCCCCGAAGACCTTCAATGGCTAAGCGTCCGCCCATGACCTCGAGGGATCTTTCCGTTGGTGACGATGTGCAGTACCTTCTGACGCTCAACCTCACCTGTATCGAGCTCCAGTACCAAAACGACTGCAAACTGGCCTTGATGGAATCGATCGAGGTCGAGAACGCCCTCGCCCAGCGCCAAACCGTGACCCTCAAAAGAGCGACGGCCGAGGGACCACCGTGACTATGGCATACTGGGACTTTCGAAACGAGTTGTATGTGTTTGCAGGCTGGAACAAGAGCCTCGTCGTCCGGGGGGATGTCAATCATTTTGAACTGAATGGGCTTGACGTGCCCATGTTACCAGCCCTCGATTCATTCTACGCGACTATGACCCGTTTTTTCAATCAAATCGTTGACAACTCCCCAATGCGCAACTTGTTTTTGGCCATTCCAACTATGGCGTCCGACTCCCGCCCTCCGAATCTTCTCATGGATCACGATGTTGTGTACCACGGAGGCAATACGTCCTCTGTTTCGGCAGCCCGCTGACAACGTCCCCTCAATCACAATTCGTGTTGAGGATGCCTACACGCAAACGACCAGCGATTTGGAAAGTATCAACCCCATGTAATTTTATGTATGGATACAGAATTCCCGAGGCGTTAGCTTTGAAATTCCGCTTATGCTCACCCCATCGCCTCTCAAGTGTTTGCGTCGTTGCTCCAATGTACACGATTGAGTTGTCAACATTCGAGATCTTGTAGATTTGCGCGTCCATTGTAAATTGGTCCATCACACTACTCATGATTCACTTGAATTCACTTGATTATGTCGACCTCTGTCGCGAGCCTGGTCTCATGGAGGAGATTTCTGAAGAAGAGACCCAGCCATGCCTATGCCCTCGCTGTGCTCATTTGTACGGCTAGGAGCTGCTCGAGCTTATACTCTGCACACACAGCATTTGTTGCCGTACCAATTGCGGGAATTGGTGTGTCTGCGGTGCTTTTTTGCCCAACGATTCCCAGCTCATTCGCCTCTGCGCCTGTACCGGTACGACTTTTATGACGAATTCCTCGGTATATTATATTGAGTTTCTCGATATTTGACGCCATTTTTCGAGTTTGCTGCATTATTTTTTTATTTGCAAGTCGTTTGAAAGGCAATTGGGGTTATATTGACTTGTAGGCACACTGGTCTTAGACAAGTCGACCGCGGAAATCGAAGAAATGTTTCTCATTTTGCACCATTTGACCAAACATCAGCAGTTTGAATACCTGCAGGAAACCATGGAACGCATTATGCATTGATCCATCAAATCCGCTAGTTCGGTGTAAATTCAGCTGAATAAATACTCATAAAATTACAAAATTCTTTCAAAGACATTGTGTAGCACGGGTATGTCGTGTGCTATCAAGAGCTGATTATTTCGTGATTTTGAGTGGGTTTTCAAATCCATCTGACATCCCATCCAAAATTCGACATTCCATCATGATTTTATTCAGTTGAAATGCAGGTAGAAACAAATCAAAATGAATGCCACCAACTGGAGCAAACTTAAGGACGAAAGTTTACAGTTAAACAAAGTTGGAATTACTAATTGTTGTATAGATAGACAAAGGCCAGTTGAAATTGGACGACGCAGTTGAAACCAATGCTTTTGATTAGTGCTCGAGCCTTAAAATCCACTTCTCAAATGCTTCTGATGACAGAATCCATGATGTCGCGGAGGTTCACAACAGCGACTTGGTTCACTCCGGGAGGAAGCGGTTGATTTGGGGGGATGGACAAGATGCGGCGCATGTTGAATCCGATGTTGATAGCACGTGGATCCGGTCTGATGCTTCGTTGAAAATCGCGTGTTGGCACGTCGGGAAGGACCCCAGGTGTGACGATGTCGTAGAAACGGTATTCAAACCGCGTCCCATCGGCACTAACTTTGAGCAGCAAGATGTACTCAATCCCAGCATAACCGCACCACCACGTGGCAGCAGCGATCAGTTGGGGCCAAGTTTGAGATACGCCAACTTCCACCACCAGAGTCAACCAATCAGCAATCGTACGACCTTGCGGTGGTGCGTTTCGATGTGGCGTGGTTCGTTGTGGCCCAAAACTCGCGTCGGCCTCTTTGTCTGGGAGGGCATCGCTGCTGACTGTCGTTGCGCCACCACTTGCAACCTCGCGATCATTTCCTGTCGCTCTGTTGAACTCCTTTCCGAATTCCCAGGCTGTGCTCTCGTGCACTCTTGAATTTGGAAGCTCGGTGATCAATACACGCCCATCGCCACTGAGTTCGAGAAACCGAAGGCCGACCCGCAGTCTTTCCTGACCACGAACGTACGCATTGAAGGCGTCAACGGATACACCGTCGCACACGAAATAGGGATTGACATCGTCGTCTTTGTTGTCGAAGTGACGTGCAACGTCGTGGAGGTCAATAGCACTCATAAAGCGGCGAATATCATCGGCAGTTGTGGGCAGAGTCACAGCAGCTGATGCAGTTGAAACAGTCGTTGGTGTTGCAGTCGTCGGTGCAGCAGTCGCAGTCATCGTTGCTCCACTCGGTTGAGAGAGCTTTTGTCTCTTGGTAGGCCGTTGATGTCGCCCCGTCCCATGCACCTGCGACGTTCATCGTACTTGTCGCTTGGACGTCGAAAATGGGAATGGGCGTGGGCATTCTGTTTCCGGATAATGTTGTTGCAGTTCAATGTCTGGACAGTCTTCCATTGGCTGAAACTCGACATGGTGTATTTTGATTGGCTGATTTTGAAGAATACCAACCAATCACAAGGGATTCAGTCCTCATCAGAGAAGCTAGTTCACACTCGTGAAATGTCCTTGCTTTGATATTCCCTTATCATGATTGTTTTTGGCGAGACAGCTGCAAGCGCACCACCACCTGTGGTCGAGTGCACCCTTCCCCAGCTATGCTTGAATCGTCAGTTGAAATTCGCGTTTGACGATGCCTACACGCAAACGACCTACTTGACGATCATGGCCACCAAATTGTGCCCTAGTTATTACACATGTCCCAGATGTCCGTGCCATTTGTACCTTGCAAAGGGGTATGAATACAACCAACATGTTCACTTCTTGCGAATGGGCGATCCATATTCCCGTAGTTATTCCTCACAGGCACGAGCTCGAAGTGCGCCGCGCCGTCGCATGTACTCACGTCCGCAAGCCGGTTGTCGGATCCAATGCCAATATATGTATCGACTGTGCTGGTTCAGGCTTTACATGTGTCCGTTGGAGCTCTGTTGATCACTGCAATGTATGAGAAATCCAACGTAGAGGTCACATTGGGGATCAGCTGATTATGTGATAGGTTTGGTTGAGAGACCGATAAAGTGGTGTGCATCCTACGGGGGTCGCCCCGTGCTGGGTTGTTTTCGGTCGAAGTGCGTCCACTCAATTATGAGGTGGCAGGAATGCTTCACTTCGGCCTCCGCCGTAATGTGCGACGACGATTACAAGGAATTGTACTAGCAGCATCGGTATGGGTGTTTCGCTGTGTGCGGTAGCTAGAGGACATAAGGGGGTCATAATATTATTGGTGGGGGTGCAACTGGCTAGCATTTCGACCTCTTTGCGATTGAGATGAAGGCTGTGTTGTCATTCTGATCAGGGGGTGGATTATAGGCTTCGATGTACAAACAAGTTTTGTACGAATTTGGTTACACCACTTATCACCATCGGATTTGCTATTCGTGGAATAGATATTGTTTCGAGAATTCGGCGAAATTCTACCTCGACTCGACTGCGCTGTCGTATTCGAGTTGCATGTCCATCACATACAAATACGTGGCAATGTGGGAGCCAAGGTGGTCTAATCCAGGCAAGAGACGACTCTGTACGAGATACGCCACTTTGACGTTCGGCCACGCCACATCCCATTTGTAGCGCTGGCTCAATTCCCACCACATCGCATGTTTTGGCTGTGGATGGGCGTGAAAGTGGATAAACCCCGCCTTTTGCACCGAGTGAGGCCACCACTCGTCCAGAAAAACTGCTACCCGACGCATATCGTACTGAATCGCATGTTGAATCCACATCGGCTATGGGGACTTTAAATCGGACATTGCACGAGTCGATAAGGGCACCCTTCACGGAGTTCTTGTTGAAGTAACTGCGCTGCCCGTACGTCATCTCATTTAACGATGCATGGAACGTTGCAAATGGTGGCGGCGTCCACACCGCAAGAGCGTAGTCCTCGTCTCCTGTCTTCATGGCAACCACCGGCAGTCTCTCGACGTGCATAGCGGACATGTTTGGAACGATTGTCAGCAGATAGCTCACCTCTGGTAGGTTTTGCTTCCGCTTGGCCAAGCTTAGCCCGTTCCGCATCATGCGATCTCTGAAGAACATGTTTGTGATGGTTGAGTCAAGCCATTCCCAGAGATATTTCACCGTGTCCACGTGCCCCTTATGCTCACAATCGTGCAAGAACACTCGTGCAGCTTGATCGTCATGGGTTTTGTTGTGCCAACGAAGGGTTTCGATGAGCGCGATGGGGTTGACATGGATTGACTCGTGGTTGGTTCTGCGGCCAATGGACGACACACGACAGCGTCATAGAACATGCAGGTATCGACGTACACGTGTTCATAGCGTTGGAACAAATAGTCTCGCGACAGCTTGGAGGATGGTGCGTTGCCAACGTATTGGCGAAACAGTGCCGCCTCCCCAGCAGATAATGGACGAAGCACGGCTTTCCACTGCCGCATTTGTCGCATCCCACGCGCGATGGCATCAACGAACCAACGAATCCAAAGAGGGCATGACAAGTACTCCAACGTCGCCGCCACCCCTTGGACAACAAGTCGAGGGACTTTCGTGTTGGCGGATACAAGTGCTTGTTTCGGGGACATGTTGGTGTCAGGGTGTGGAATTACAACTGGTTGTTCGCATGTCAGGTTTCACAACGTCCCAGTTTCAGCGACAGAGTAAAACGAACATTTCTGCCTTTTTTACTAGTATGTTAGTCTATTCTCTCGTTCATTCCTGGTTGTACACACTCGTGAAATATATGTATTTGCAGCCCCGAAACCGATTCTACAAGAAATGAGAAAAATATATGCTACAGGGAGATGCGGGAACAGGACACAAACACATCACTATGAAGAATTCAAGGTCCTTGACTCCTTCAATCATGGTGTACCATTGTCGAGGGAATACACGCATCTTTATTCAAGTTGTCGCGTGCGAGTCAACCAGGAACTGAACCTGCCACTTCCACGGAATCAAACGACCTGTACATGCGCGCGACAGTTACATATTATTATTCCCTTGAACAATTTTATGTTGATATTTGTATTAAGTATGCGTATTATTATCCATCTCCATAATTATTTACGTTTTGCACAAACGATTTATACATCCTGCAGATTGCGCAGGCGACATGCGGGAAAGGCGCGATGCAGGTCAGCGATTTCTCAATGCATACTGCACAACGGGTCACGAAACTCTCTATTCCGCATAACAACAACCAATACTATCTACAACACCTTATTGCATGTCGCCTGAATCAACAGCTGTAGAGAAAGACAACTTCGAACTCGGCAAATTCGTCGTATTTCATGAACAAACGTGTACATGCGGGTAAGATGCCTTATGCCAAAGAGAGCTGTGCATGCGCAGACCATGCTGCATAGGCTGAGCTAGTTATGGGCTATCTTGTAATATCAGTAGGATTGTGCTAACTAGTATGACACAGCTCGAGAAAAACCTCATCAAAGTTCGTCCATTCTCGATATATGCGCATGTCCAAATGCTGTCTGAGTACCACAAAAACATGCGCAATAAAATATTGCATCCGCAAAAGTGATGAAATATCCGGAACTGTTGTGTTTTCCTCAATGTGAAACGGCGCGAATTTTTTCAATGCAAGGCATCGCACATGCAGATATAAAACGTGTCAGTACAGCAGTCAATGTCCCTCTCCAACAAGTTGGATGACTGCGAGGAAACTCCAGTTTCGCTTTCGTCATTCATGAATGCCTCGATTTTGGCCTTCCATAACTTCGTGTTATGAGTTATCGCCAGTTCCCGCATCTCCCAGTATCGTAATCCTCGCGTAAGGGGGATTCTATACGCCCCCTCGTTGCAAGTTTAATAGACGCTGGGGATACAGGTTACTAGCATAGGTTGTCGGTGGATGTTAGGGGCCATGAAAATTAGGAGGGGAGCTCGAGATTTGGAATGGCGAGGAACGTATCGTGCGTTGGGTAGTTGAATACAATTGGATTGAAGAGACTAGTGATGGGGGCGTACAACGAATTGAATGGGGGGCATTCCCAAAGAGGCCGCGTGAGACGCTGAATTGGTTGGCGTCGTCGCTGACGCTATACAACATGAGCACATCCTAAGCTGGTTGTTCAAAGTGATTGACATCCCCCGCCGAGGCTTATAGTTATAGCTTATACGTTTCGGAAGCTGCATCATCACTGTGGAGTGCCGGCGCGGTCGTTGGAAGTTAGTTTTTCCCTGAATCGTCGTCGTTGTCGTAGATATCGTTGGCATAATTTGACGAACTCTCGACTTGATCACGTGACTTGCAAGTCGCGTGGTTGTATTCCACTGGCAGGTTGAACAAATACAAGGCTGTGGCGATATACCAGCCAACGTGGTCTAAACCTGGCAATAGACGACGCTGCACGAGATGCGCCACTTTGACGTTCTGCCACGTCACATCCCACTTGTATCGCTGGCTCAATTCGCGCCATATGCCAAGATTTTGCCATGTATGGCGGTAGCAATGGACAAACACGTCTTTTCGCACCACATTGGGCCACCACTCGGCCAGATACTCAGCCACCCGAGGCATGTCGTACAGTATCGCACGCTGTAGCCATCTCGAAGCTATAGGGACTTGGAAATGGGAATGGACCTCGTCGTAATCAGCGTCGTTCACGAAACAAGAGTCCTTGAACCAATTTCTACGCTGCCCGTACCCCTGCGAGTTCATCGTTTTATAGAACTCGGTCATCTGTGGTAGCTTCAGCAGCGCAAGCACAAAGTTCTTGTTTTCAGTCCCCATGGCAGCCAAAGCAAGCTGTTCGGCGTCCGTAGTAGTTGACAACTGTGGAGCGACCGTCAGCACAAACCTCACCACTGGCAGGTTCTGACTTTGAATCGCCCCGTAGAGTCCCTTCGACAGGAGGGATTGTCGGGAGGTTGTGGTGGAATCGACCCATTCCCAGATATACACCACCGTCTCCACTCCCCCGCCGTGTTCACAAGCATGCAAAAACACTTGTGCTGGTTGAAGGTCATGGTTTTGCACGTGTTGGCGAAGGGCTTCGACGAGCGCGATGGGGTTGGGGGATACCGAGCTCGTCATGGCTGCAGAAATGTCAAGGTCCAGTTTGGATCGAATCAAGGCTGGCTCGGCGGCCAATTGGCAGCATACCAAATCAGCGTCTCCAACTTCAATTGCGTCGTAGAACTTGCGGATCTGGACGTTGACGCCTTCGTGGCGTTGGTACAATTCCCATCCCACCGTCGTACCAAGCTCTTGGCCAGTGCAGCCGCAACACAGTGTTGCCTCTCCAGCAGCAAGAGGACAATGCACGGCCATCCATTTCACCACTTGTCGCATGCCGTGGGTAATAGCATGAGCGATCCAACGAATCCCAGGACGATGTGACAAGTACCGCAACGTCGTCGCCACACCCACGTCTTGCTTTAAATCACCAACTTGGACATTTCCCTCGTAGACAGATGTAGGGGCAATATAGAGTGGCTTAAATGAAGCCTCGACGCTAGTCACGAAGGTTTGAACGGCCTGCAATGACAGACATCGTAGGACAAACTCTTCGTCGTTCGTGTTCGTTGCCATCAAGAGGAGTTCGTCGTAATCCTCGAAGTTCTTAAACGTGGCCAACAAGTATTCCACCAGGGGGAAGTTACGGGATTGCGTCGCCAATACCAGCCCCTTCCTCGAATCGAAACGGGATACTGCTTTGTCTTGACAGAACCACTTGACAATGTACTCCACAGTGGAGGGGGTGGCTCCGTGTTCGCACGCATGCAATAGCGTGTTACGAGTGACGCGCCCCCCCCAGTATGGAATTCGTCGAAGAGCATCCAGAAGGGCTGTTGGGTTCGGAGCTACAGAGCAAGCCTTGAGGACGTTGGTTGCTTGTTCGGGTTTGACTTCGATGGGGGGATCAGCGCTCACCAACGTTGCAACTGTCGCCGCATCTCCCCTTTCAACGCCTCGAGTAGCGCTTGATAGTGGGCTTGGCAATTGTTGCGACACTTGTTTCGCTTCTTTGTCATGTTGATGGCAGGACGCAGAATTTCACTGACTTTGCTCCGCAAACTGACGCGACTATTATATCGATTATGCAAGGTTTTGCTTGTACGTGTACCAAGGAGAACGAATATGTGACGGAAATTGACTGAACATGTCCGTCTTACAGTGTGGACGTGGGATCGTTGTCACAGTCCAGTTGCATCAAAATGACAAGAAACAAGTGCCGCGTCGAACTCTGCCAAACCAACTGCCCCAGGTATCAAGCGTTAGTCAAGGCCATTGAAGGGGGGATGGGACGACATTCTCAACGATGATAATCGCCGAGCCCCCGCATCGATCTCAATCACGAACAAGGAATGAATGTCCTCAAGGCTTGCTCTGTGACTCCAAATGCGATGGCGTTTCAGAACGTGTTTAGACGAATTCCTAGCTGGGGGAAGTGCCTCAGTGGTGAAGTATTGTTGCATGCGCTCGAGAACGGAGCTACCCCCTCCACGGTGAGTCGCCATTGTGATGGCTCAATCAATGCCCTCGATGGGGGGTTGATTTGATGAAGGGGCTTCAATTGGCGACGCAATCCCGCAACTTTCACTTGGTGGAACACTTGTTGGCTTGGCAAATTACGAATACCTCGTGGATCACGACAACTTTCTAGATACGGCAACAACTTTGAACGGCCAAAAGGTTACCTCGCGATATCTGTCGTTGGCCAGCGCTCAAACCTTTGCCACAAATTTAGGGGTTTCCATGGAGGCACTGGCTGCAACATTCGCCAACGGGACCAACGATTAATTTGGCGGTGCTGTCAATGATGTGATGTCGGCGTGGCTGTACTTCTGGTTTGTTTGTTCCATCTTCCACGGGATGCCGCAAGTTATACAGGCAATGGCAAGCTCATCTCCCCAACCCCGATATGCGCTCCCTACAAAAACCATGACCTTAGAGCGACTCCGTTGTTTTTGCACACTTGTGAACATGGCGGGGGGGGGGACACGGTGAAATATCTCTAGGAATGGGTCGAGTCCACCATAAATTTCCCCCTGCACACCTTGCGGAAGGGAATCAACCTTACCACGCAATGTCAAAACCTGCCCGTTGTGCGCTATCTCTGACGCTCGTCCAATGATCCAAAATGCACGCCGAAGGGCTGCCTTGGTGGCCATGAAGACTGGAAACAAGGAGTTTGCACTTGCGGTGTGGATGCTATCTCAATTTGTAAGTCCACGAATCGTTGAATTCACCAGTGTATGGACGACGCAAATGTGGGATCAAGAACTCCCCTGTGATGAACGATGTTAGTCACGACATGGGTAATAACCGTTCCCATAGCCTCGATGTGGATTCAGCATGCGATACTGTATGATATGCGTCGGATAGCAGATTTTCTGGAGGAGTGATGGCCCAACGTGGTGCCAAAGGCGGGGTTTGTCTAGTGCCAAGACCATCCATGGTAGCAGCAAGCATACGCTATGATGGGAATTGACGGAGTCAGTGCTACAAATAGGATGTGACGTGACAGTACGTCAAAGTGGCGAATCTCGTACAGCGTTGGCTTGTTGCCAGATTTGGACCATCGTGGCTTCTACATTGATGGACATGCAAGTCGAATACGACAAAGCCGTCAGATCACGATGGCTTTCCGAACAATTATCAAAACGAAACCATGGCATCAAAAATCCATACTACGTGGAGTCACAGGCTCGGTCTTAGCGTACATTGAACTATGGCGTCTAATGTGCCTATAAGTGGCACTCCATCCTAACGACGGTGCCTACAGCAACAATTTTAACTTTCTACTCGACACATATATGGAGGCGACAGGTTGTGTGCCATCTACGCAAAAAATCCCCTTAGGTACACTTTTGCAAATCGAATTGTAAGCCACCGCATTCATCTTACATGTTCAGCAGTTCATCACCGAAAACCATCTAGAAAGTGCTTGGTTGACACGATGATTACAGTCGGTATGGGCAGGGTAACTGGAGCCGATTATGTAGCATACTATTTGCGTGGTATGAACACTACCGCCACCAAATGCAAGGGCCAGCCAAAGGGTCGCTATCACGTTCAAATTTGATGCATATCATATATAGCAGGCAGTCCATTTGGTTCGTGTTGAATGCACAGTGTTGCCTTGACCAAGCAGAACAATTCTATCTCTACATGCTATTCACTTGAGCGTACGGCGTCGCCACCTTGTTATCTTCGTCTAGTTCGTTGAATTTTGGCAATCGCTGCTCGTCCAACTCGCGCGAGGACAGCCGCAGTTCGAACGACCGTGACGACGGCAGCTTGCGAATGGCGGCGTCGTACTCCGGCGGCTTCTCCTGGCTGGTGTCCACAGGCACGAGCTCGAAGCGCGCCGCGTCGCCGCGCATGCTCACGTCCACGAGCCGGCTGTCGGATCGAATTCCAATGTACCGGCGGTGCTGGTTCAGGCTCTTCATGTATCCGTTGGAGCTCAGTTCCCACGTAAGTCCTGGGCGGCCGCGCCAGCAGTTGAAATTTTTCATGCGGATATCGCGAAAACACGACAGCGTGCTCCGTGAGTACATGTATGTGTTGGTGCCGGCGGTGCGAAGGCTCACCTTGATGCAGTTGTACACCTTGGCCGTGGCTTGCAGCTCAAAGATGGCTGGCTTGGTCCAGTTGGTGGTCGCGTCGCCCTCGTCCTCGTCCGCCACAGACACTTGGCCGGACGGCAAGATGACCACAAAACGATTGTGGTACCCGTTCACGCGCAGCTTGACCTTGTGGCCGTTGAGCGCCAGCACTTTGGCGACAACCCTGCGGCTGACGTCTTTGATGGCTTCGATCTCTTCTTCCATGGCCTGTACCTGGTCGGGCGCGATCTGGTGCTCAAACGGCACGCGGGACTTGGGCTTGGTCATCACCTGTTTGCACCACTGCTCACCCGTCATGCACCAATGCGCGTAATGCTCGCAGTTTTGCGAGAAGATGTTGAACTCGCCCTTGCCCAGCCCCATGAGGAACTTGCAGCGCGCGAGCACGACTTCGGGCAGGTCGGCCTTGCTGTAGTGCACTTCGCCCCACTTGGACAAGAGTTCGCGCAGGCTGCTCGTGTTGTACTCGACCACGCGGAGGCTCGAGATCTTGCGCTTGGAGAGAAAGTCCCGCAGTGGCGACACCCGCACACACGAGTCCGCTTGGGCTTCCTGGTACCCTACCAACGGACTCCACACATGGCACACCTGGATCGTGTCTTCGCTATCGCCTTGCGTCCACACAATGCCGTGGTGCTGATATCGGATCGGCCATCGACTCTCGTCCCACACGCACAAATGGTCGCCCGGACGAAGTGTTTGGATCAAGCTCACCTTGGTGTAGTTGCCCAGCATGGTGATGATGAGGTACTAGGTACACTGGGAGAGCTGGACAATGAGAACGTGGTTCTGACAACGAGTGCTGCGCTGTGCTGGCTGCCTGCAACCCAGACGAAGAGGTATTACTGTATTGCAGAAGTTGGGCAGAAACGGCCGCAAAGTCAGGCCATACAAAACGTCATAGAACGAGGAATGTTGGTCACTTACTCACACTTGAATTTCCAGTGCACCCTTGACATCTTACGATAACTGGTCATTTTGCGTACAGCTGTCCCACTAGCCCAAGAATTTCACTCGGGAGCAGCTAGCTGGATGAGGCGCGCCTAAAGTGATGTTAATCAGGGCGGCAGAAGCTAAACTGAGAGAGCTTTATCTCCGTCCAATGAATCGCCTTTATGACCAGGACATACAAAAAGATGCCGAGGGGCGACGCCATCACTGAAACCGCCACATAGGGCATGCATGCATTCACGGCTGTCAGTTACACGACCATATATACTCCACATTTGGCTGGTCTTCCATGATGCTAGGCGACGGGTTTCCTTCCAGGGTGTGTGACTACAACATGTTATTGCAACCGATACAATTCGTTGTGTCGACCCTGCTCCAGCCCACGGCCCGGCACTTTTGCAAGCTCGATGACGTGGCAGACTGCCACGAGTTCATGCAATCCATCGAGGCGGACGATGCGTTCCTTGTGCTGCGTGCGGCACTCGAGTACATCAAGCTCACCCGCTCCCTCTTGCGTGTCTGCGACGACTTGTACCAGAACGACGATGCAGTAAATCGAACCCTCGACTTGAATGAGTTGTTTCAACGTGTGCGATCATTGGGCTTGTGGTGTACGTAGCCTAGTGTGGAGGAGGCGTTGGGGGAGATGCGCCAGGTTGCTCTCGAGTCGCCACTGAGCTCGACGGCGCTGGGCCAAGCTAGCCATGCCAGCCCTATGAAACGACACGAGTATGTCCATCCGTTTCGGCAACACAACGACAGCAGTGCTGACACTTGCTTGCATACGGCCCTTGAAGGCTCACCTGAGAAGCAACGTACGTTGTCGACGTGAGGTCTTTTGTTTTACATATGTACACCCATGACAACGACGCCGAAGGTGCAGACGGGCGACCGGCGCGCCACTGGCTCCAACGCCTCCAAGACGTGTTTGCATTGAGCTTGCCGTCGCCATTCGCTAGAGACGATGACCCAGAGGTCGACGAGGCCGCCGCGCCGTTGGTGAACTCTGACGAGTTCGCACCGTTGCCCGAGCTTGCGACACAAAACGCTGACAATGGTGGCACGTCCCCCTCGTCGTTGCCTGGATCTGCTACCAAGGGGAAACTGGATGGAGAGCCCCCCCCACTTGTGGTCAACACCATGCAATCCATGGTGGAGTTCCCGTCCAACCTCAAGCTTCAGTTCCATGGGCTAGTGACCGTGGCAGACTTCGCCAAGGCGCGCGGTATATAATCTTGTCACTGACATCATCGTTATGATGTTGGATGATTGAGAGTGTAGAGAACCACCGAGCTGCGGTGGTCGTCCTCACGCAGCTGAATGGGTTCGACGTGATTGTTCGAGCTACAGATGCATTAGCCACAAGCCATAAGGCGCAGATCATCACGTTGTCTCTTCTGGGCAACCCAGGTACAAACGGTAGTTAGGTCACATCAACTAGTGCTTTTCCATTACTCATGTCATGCATCCTCCCTTTTGCCTTGGCTAACGAATATATAATCTTCAATGAAAGTCGAGGATGCTGTACGCAATTCTCATTACGAACATGTAGACATTGTATCGTCGTGTGGGCAGTTGGTTCCAAGGGGGGAGTGTCGCCGACTGGTGAGGTCCGCCATGTTACAGTTCCCCACCAGCGGTCGCATCCAGGGCCTCGGGTGCCTTGCACTCGCTAACCTAGCTACCCATCACCTTGACAGTCCATCATCCGTAGACCATGATACGTGTAAGACCTCCAACACAGTCTCGTCTTTTGAACGTTTTGGAAGTGGATTACATTACTCCGAACACTGACAAAGCCACCACCACTACACTTGGGCTACTACGACATGTGTGTTGTCCTTCCTGCAAGTGATGACATGCCCATTGTAGCCACTCCGATGGAGGCATGGGACGTTGACAGCAGCGGCGTGGACTTGGTTGTCGCTGCCATGAAACGCTTTCAAGATGTGGATGCGAATGTGCAGGCGGCGGGCGCGTGGGCTCTCGCGTCCATCTGTCGGCATCATGGTAGTATGGACACCTTGACCCCCCCCTATGTCTTCCCTTTGACTTCCAGTTATGTTGGTCAAAAAAAGCTGTAATATCAAGACCTGTTTGTTAAATTATGGTGTTGGTAGAGGATCTGGTGTATGCTGCGTTGGACGTGGGGGGATTGAGTGCCGTGGAGCGGTGCAAAGTGACGTTCCCAGACGACCCGCGCGTCCAAACCAACGCCGAGCTGGCCATCGCGCAACTCCTGCATCGCCCTGTCCCGTTGCTCCAGAACGACGGGTGTGTCGTCCAATGAAAAACGCACGCATCGTTCGATTTCAATATCCCTCAGTCTACTTTGGACTTGACATTCAATTTTGTTTTCATCGCTCGTATACGATGTGAATGCGTAGACTTAACGTTAGTACGTACCAGTACTACCATTGGTAATACGATAATGCTCGGTAGTAACAACTGTGCAAAATTGGCAACCAAACGTCGACCATTACGTATATTTAGAGGCCACCCCGTAAAATTATGCCGTAAATCGCCTTGGCAAGTCTGCTAAAGTTTCCCAAAGTCTCGTATCTCATGAAAAAGGAGAAAAAATAGCTATTTTAATAGCTATTTTTTCTCCTTTTTGTTCAGACAACTTCCTATTAAAATAGGAAGTTGTCTGAACACTTCTGAATTTTTTGTATCTCTTAAACACACGATTCTCAAGAAAATGGTGGCATCCGGACACACAATAGCTCGAAAAATGGAAGATTTCGATTAATGCATCTATTTTTGGAAAAACGGCCATGTTAGATGTCAATTTTCATAGCAAATGGACGAATGATATTAATATGGGTGCGTCTGGTAATTATTATTTCAAAATAACATGCCATTTTCTGGCAAAATCGGATAAATCCATAATGGCGTCTTCAAAATGGAGGGAAAAAGGTCCATGTTGTAATATCGCGTTTAGGGTGTCCTCAAGGAGTACCTCCCACTTGGAACTGCTGGATTTGGGTCCAAATTCTCCAAGCAAGGTATGTTTCAATATTTATCATATTTATTAATTTAGCCCCCAATTTGAGCCGGAATATTGTAATTTTTCAGGTTACCAGACGGGTGTCCTATACAGTATATTTGGTTTAGACAATACGTCGACATGTACTAGATTCAAGTCAGGAGCGCCAGACAAGAGTACAACAGCGGCTCCAGGAGGATGGATCTACAGGTAGTGAAGGAGCGTGTAACATGAAAAATCTGTTGATTTTCACGGCAAGTCGCGTTTGGGGGTCGAGATGTTGTAATTTCGAGGGTCTTGAAACAACGCGTGGAGGAGTTCATGGGTCAGAGCATGACCAGGTCGAATGCCGACGTAATGGCCGTGGATGGGCATCCCCGCCAGGGCCAAGTCGCCCACCACGTCCAGCGCCTTGTGTCGACTCCATTCATCTGGAAACCTGATACATAATAGATGAACCATGGTGAGAATAGATAAGCTGTCATTTATGGCATGCCCACCACCTACCGTAAGCCGTCGGGATTCAGCGGCGTGCCGTGGTCGTTAAACACGATCGCGTTGTCCAAACTGCCGCCTTTTGCCAACCCCATCGCATGCAACCGATCAATGTCTTGGTGGAATGTGAACGTTCGCGCCGACGCCACCGTCGCAAAGTCGGCGAGGCTGAGATGCGTCCACTGCCGAGGTAACTTTCCGGGGAAGTCCACTTCCACGGATACCGTGAGTTCCTGACTTGGTCGTGGCAGCAAGGACGCCGCTTTGTCTGCTTTGAGAACCTACGTGTTCACGTAACTAGTGATTGAACATGCTTGCCTCGTTCGCGGAACGGAATTGGTGAGTGGATGGAGTTCGTGAGTGCTTTCTACCTGGACGGGGCGGAGGACAGTCAAGATCGATTGAGGGGCGTCTTGGTCGTGGACCCCCGCGCGCACCAACGCATCGACGAACCCGGCGCTACTACCATCGAGGATCGGCACCTCCGGCCCAGTCACGTCCACATGCACATTCGTAACACCAGCCGCACTGATCGCTGCCAGGACATGCTCCACCGTCGCGATTGAATACCCCGAAGCACGGTCATGCAATCGTGTGCAAAATCCCATGGTGTCCACCGCCACATTTGAGTAGATGGCAGACACTGCCCGACCCGGAGTGGCGTCGTCGCGGAAGACCACGCCAGTGTTCACTGGCGCAGGGCGGAGCACCAGACGCGCCTACTCCTGAATGAGATCTCCATCTTCCAAGGAGAACACAGTCGTCTTCACGGCGAATCTTACCTTCTCGCCTAAATGCAAGCCAATTCCTGCGACTTGCACAGCTCGTTCGATCGTTCGCTGCATGTTCAACTCGTGCACTGAGCAAGTCCGGATACATTTGGTTTCCGGATAATTGACCACGGTTCATCATTTATCAGAAAAACCGTGGATAATATGAATTGCACTTATCTATAATAATAGATAATCTTCATTTATCCGATTTAGATAAGTATTTGCAAATCATGTGACTCAGTGAACAGAATGGCGCAGAACAACGTGGGCAAGTGGCTCGTCGGCGGCTTTGTCACCGTCACGGCGGCGACGATCGGTAGGCTCCGACACCTGTCGATGGCAATGCATTATCTCTCATGCATGATGATGCACAGGGTATCTGCACGTGTATCTCCCCAACTTTACGGACCTCGGGCAGCAAGTCCATGAGCGCGCGGCGTCAAGCCAAGCAAGCGGCACTGAGTCGCCAGTGGCTGGGTCCATGTGGAAGAACTTGAATCGACAGGTGAAGAGCGGAATCAATCCACAAGACGTCGCAAAATAGAGTTGGGTTTCTTCTTTTTACTCTTTGGTCGTTCTCCCTCGACTAATACCAGAGATGAATCGATCCGATCGCTTTTGATCGGTCGAGGTCTGCGCGGACATCGTCGTGGTTGTGGCCATCCGGGGCACATGCAAAGGCGGGTAGTCGTGCGTGGTATGGGTCGTCACGGACGTACGGAAGATGTTGGACCATTGATGTTGCACCTTGGAAGTGACGCGTCCAGTAGTGGAGGTCATGGGATCGGACGCGCGCACGGATTCCCGACGTCTATGTAGAAATGTCGCCACCGCATCAATCATGCATCCACCCATCCATCCATCTCTAGGTGACGACAAAGTACCGTTCGAGGCGCGCCTGGAGTAGGGTATTGATGGTGTTCTCGGCGTGCACCAACTTGGAGACAGAGTCCACACAGAGCACCGCGTGGCGGTTAATGAGCTTCCCCATCGACGTGTACGGGCCACCGCAGTCAAAGTAAAAGCATGACGTGGACGGCATCGGCTTGGTGTCGATCTGCGGCCCCCGACTCCGCGCCGACAGGCACGGACACACGCTGTCGAAGAGCATTTGGATGGCCGTTTGCACTTGTTTGGTGCGGAGATGATGCTACAATATTCCTCTGTCACATCTACGACATCAACTCCATCAGTGTTTGCGTGCACACCCGTTCCAAATGCTTGAAGAGCAAGCTGCTCTCGTGGATCACCGCAACCGTGTCCCATGCCGCGGCGCTCTGCGACGGGTTCAAAATGTCGTGGATCGGGTGATCACCCATGTACAGCACTTTGGTGTTCTACAGTATGGGGTCAAAATGATATATATATATCATTTCCGTCTACATATATCATTTGGACGCCAATATATCACTTTGCCCCAAAATATATGTACTCTGGAGTATATCATTTGGACCCGCGAATACAATATAATATATATATATAATATATGTTTATATATATAATATTTATAATATTTCGAACCCCACCTTGCACGTCAAAATGAAATACATAAACTATCGTTTTGACCCATATACTGTATATATATATATCATTTTGACCCACGAATATATATATATGTATAATATTTGAACCCTACCTTGCACTTCCAACTCGGTTGGACCAACGCTTGCATGAGTTCTATGAGGTTGCCACCTTCGTACACTTTGCCGCGCTCCAGGGTCGTGGCGGCGGCGATAGACCTGGCATTCTGCGCCGTCGTGAGTACTTCCTAAAGATATGTATATATATGCATATTAATCCTCCGATTCAAATATATATTGGAGAGATATAAATAGTATTACCCTAAAGCGGCACCCGTGATACGATTCAAAAAACACTTCTTTCGCGGCTTTGGTGAGCACGAGGTCGAAGAACGACCGCCAGTCGGTCCCCACTGCACATTTCATCACCTAGTTACATACAATTGATTGAACATGTGATTCCGACTTTTTAGATTAGGATATGTATGCTAAAACAACGAAGGGGATATGTAGAACAACTAAAGTGGTACTAGTATTTTCGAGGCAACTATTAATAAGGGGATGTCAACTATTACTAAGTAGTAGTACATCATGGGTCGTAAGTCGTACTGTGTCTGTGTGCTCCCACGAGCCATTGGTTAGTAGAAACACGTTTTTCTTCCATGACTTGTGAAGCAGCTCGAGCATGCGTCGCACGCCGCTGTTGACTTGGATCAGCACGTCTGGCGCTGTCGACAGCGTGCGCTACATGTACACATGATACGGATAAGCTCTAAACTCCTCTAGATGTAGCTCGGGAACAAACGTACCCAGTAGTCTGTCCCATAGTACGCCGTGGTTGCTTCCAATGCAATCGAGCACAAGACACTGTACACTGACTGTGGAGCCACACAAATCAATGAGAACAAGCGGAATGTGCTTGCATGTATCATAAGGTTGGTAAGTAGGTACCTCTGGATGCAAGTGACGCATTTGGTGGTCTATGTCCCCTGAGGGCAATGGCACATACCCAATCTCGACCTCGGTAATCTACAGATACATACAACCCCACAGACATAAGCAACTATCCTCCCCTCCCCCCTTCTAAACTCGAATCAAGTCTCACGTTCTTATCATGTATTCTCCTCCCCCCCAATGATTAAGGGGAATACAGTTCCAAGCTCCTAACTAGTGAATGGCCACGTTGTTGTAGTGCAACTACTGTACTACACTGTACGTACCGTTCCGGCTTCATATTGATCCACGAGCCAAGCATATAGAGGGCCAAAGATGATTTCGGCGTTCGTGTACAAGTAGTTGTAGGTGGTGGTGCCGGCGCGCTGTTGCTGGACAGGGTAGTGCAACCCCAGCACGTTCTGGGGCAATTCGTACGTCCCATGAAACCCACGAATGACTTCGTTGGTGCTGGTGATGTGCAGCAAGTTGCCTTTGATGACGTCAACCGCAATGCCACGGAAGGCCAAATGCGGCAGCCACACTGGCAGCTGCGCCGTGCGCAAGTTCATGTAATTCTACCCATCATACAACTCGTTCAGTAATTACCACGACGCAATGTCATCTACCATGTTTTTACAATGTCCAAAGTTTACACCTTGAAAAGTCGTACTATTTAGTAGATTTACAACATGACATGTCATACTATGAAGTACTGTAGATCATTTGCACACGAAATAAATACTTCATATTTTGAAATATATCATTTTGCACCACCACCACCACGAAAGGGCATATATCCTTTTCATTATGTCCGAAGGACTCCACCATAACTTGTCATATATCCGTTGCACTCACGACATATCAGTTGCACGTTCAGTTTTTGCATCACCACTATGAACTGTCATCGTCGTAATACCGCTTGAATGTGCTTGTAGGCCTTTTCAAACGACAGTTTGAGCAATGCGTCCAACTTGAACTCGACCAGTGTGTGGTCGACGTCGAAGCCGACCCACCCATAGTCGTCAAAGTGCAACCGGTGGGTGTCGTTGTGCTAGACAAACCATCATCATCTTGTGACAAAATGGGGGGATGTCTCGTCTCATGTGCCTCGTCTCATGTGTCTGAGACATGTGCTTTGGAAACGTACGGTCGTGAGGGGTCGTCCGTGGCTGCTGGTCATGTTGAAAGTAAAGTGCTTGGCCCGCATAAAAATGTTGCGCGCCACAAACACTTGGTTGAAATTGGACTTATGTACGTCGATGCATTCTTTCCAAAACACGTCAAACTAACGACATCAAGCGAACGGACATGAGGAGTATCGGACATGGCAAAGGACTCCATTGTATGAGGATGATATTAATAGGACACCAAGAACTCGATGTCTTCAGCGTTGGGCGGCCATTTACCTGGGGCAATGTAAGCCACGTACGGTAGTCATCTTCGTGGATGCGTTCGAAGTCGTCGGCAGATGTGCACAGCAATATATCGCGTTGTCGTCGTTGGAGATACACCTACATCAAATAATGCACGACACCATTCAACCTTTGTGACGTTGAACTTCAAGGGTAGTATGACCATCACAGTGAAATGTATCAATCATGGTGACGTTGAACTTCAAGTGTACAGTAGTTTGACGTGGCAGCACCACAGTGCAAATGTACAATTTTGTAACCAACCAGCATGACCGACACCATGGCCGCGCACCCGTTGACCATGATGTGATCAATCATCCGAAGCCGCAATTCAGACGGAAAGGCGTCTGTGAGGGGCACGACCATGAGCTTCCAGTACACGGATCGGGGTAGGTGCAGCTGGACAATTGTGTTGTGCACCCCCGGCAGCTACACTCATGTTATCCGTCACCAAACTGCACCTACGGAAACGGTGTACCAGCATCTGAATCGTCGACTCGACCGTATCCAAGCACACTGCTCCGATATCCCCAAACGGCAAGCATGGCTTGGGGTTGCGTGGCTGTTGTTCTCGCTATTTTGAAATTCAATGCATGGCGATGGTTTGGCATAGTAAACACTTGATGAGTTTGGACAACATACATGCAAGAGAAAACCGAGGATCTTGAGGACATCGGCTCGATTCCGCACTTCTGGCCCAACGACTTGGATGATGGCATCTACCTACAGCGTTTGATACCGTCAATTGATCGTGTGAGACAAACATCATCAACACAAATAAAAGCAATAGACACGTACAAACGGCGTCGTGTCGCTGTCCACAACCATAAAGTTGCTCTCGTTCAGCTGAAATACAATGTCGCGCACGTATTGGTCGTCGATGTTCTTGGACTGCCCGTGCTGGCTGCGCACGCTTTTCCCACTTTTGCCGCTTTTGGGGGAGGTTCGAGTGGACTTATAACTGTTGTCGAGCTTGTCAGTAAGCGCGCACAACACTCCCGACCCTTGTTCCCACATGGTTCCCATGTACGCGACAAAACTCTATAAGCACACTTCTGAGATGTCGGGTTGTTGCGGCTACAAGAAACGTTTTGTGTACCAGCGACAGCTTGGACTTGGACCGGTATTTCATTTCGGTGGAGATGATGTCCATCCACACCTGGCGCCGCTGCACTGACAGCGGGATGCCATTGGCCACCATCACCGTAAAGTTCTTCACTGACATGCCGTGCCACGCGACCAAGTCATCCGTCACGCTCGCACGCGGCTGATGCCGTGTACCCATGCTGCCTGTGATGCCAATATAATGATTACACCTAATTATGCGATGGATGTTGCGAAAGGTCGCGATCTCCCAACAACTCACCAAAACGTAAGGTGAGGACATTTGGTGGGAATAATTTGCGTCTCTGAGTTCAAACGATATTTCACAAAACGAAACGTCCTCACAGTCAACTCCCCAAGCTAAGTTAGCTCCATGCAAGTGCGTTGAGATACTGTAGCTTAACCACTTGTAACCCCGTCAGAAATTACTAGTATCATATACTAGTACTGCAGTAGTACTACGTAGTGCTTCGTAATTTAGTACATGTACTACTAGTACGTATTAGGATTGCGGGACTATGGGCGTCGGAACGTGCCAAGCAGGGGTTCGTACTTCCTTTTGCTCTTTTGACACAATTTCCTTTGCTATCAAATCCCGTGCTCCTTTCGACGATCTACGCTTTATCGCTTGGTCAGGGCTATCCTCTCTGCACTGGTACACCAATTAGTTTTCTACACTCTTCCCCGCCGTCTAAGCGCAAACCAAATTTGATTGTCTATGAGAGTCCTGAAAGTACTTCCTTCATATCCATGAACATATGCAACACACTAGGACCAAGTCAGTCGAGGAGTTGAGCGTGGATGTTGTACAACGCAAAGAGAATGCTCGCAAACAGGAGGGTATCCACTCGACCGAGCAACCCTGCATGACCATGAATAAGTCGGCTGGAATCCTTCACGTTGGCCGCGCGCTTGATCAAACTTTCAAACAGGTCGCTACATGTCAAGTACTACAATCAGTTGGTACTAGTACTCGCCAAAAAAGACCACGTGGGCCCCAGTCGCATCGGCTGAACACGGTGACGGCCGTGGTGACGACGAGAATCTTTGTCACCGACACCGTGGACATGGTGATGCCCAGCACATTGGTGACAATGACCATGGCAATCAACGCACACATGACGCCCCCTGTGTCCCTTCGACGGCTTTGTTCGGGGGCAAATGTTTGGCTAACGGGGGAAACGGGTGTAGCCGATCTGTCCCAGCAAGTGTCAAGTGAAGTAGATTCCGGAATCGGCGGCCCACACCGTGAACAAGAGCACGAGCACGTTCTTCCGACCGGCCGACACCACGGACAAGTCGATAAAGTTGGACAGGATCTGTACCAGCCCCAAGAGGTACACAATGCCGAGCTGATCGAGCAGCATGGACATGTACACATCGTTCGGTGAGGCCTGGGATAAGGAGCTTCCATCGCACCGCCAGAGGCGCAAGGACATATGCATCTTGCGAAAGTTGTTCCATGAGGAGCGGATACGATGACTCGGGTATGATAGTTGTTGGTTGGTCGGACAAGGAAGGTCGCGGAGCCACAACTACTAGAGCTTTGATACGATGCACGAGCCACGAGTATTCAAACATACACAGCCAATAGGGTCGCCATGAGCTGTGACGTGGCAGTGCGAGGACACAGAACGAATACAAGGACGATGGCTGTAGCTAAGGTCGCACCCGCGACTAACCGCTTGACGAAATTGCGGCACATCGAATCCTCGGTCGCGGTGGTCACCTGAGGAACTTCCATCATACAATGATGTTTGACGTGAAGGGGTGTGGTCCGGATATATCCGGAGACATTCGAAGGAAACATGACTTGCATTAACATGGGTTACATGATTACATTAGAATGCAGTTGGAGGAGGCGCCGCCCCGCTCGCGCACGCGCTCGTTCAAGTCGCCGGCCGCGGCTTCGAACTGCAGGATAAAATGATCGCGGTCGGGGATGCGATCGAACCCTCGCTCGTGGATGAGCTTGTTGCGGATCGTGGCCAGGAATCGCATTTGTTTGACCAGTTGCGGCGGCAGCTGGCCGTTGACGGCGCTGATCTTTTCATGGAGCCCTTTGCCTGCAGCACCGAACTCGGCTTCCAAAATGTACTCGAGTTCCTTTGCGCACTTGATCACGAGCTCGTAGTCGTTGCCTGATGTGCACCACGCGTCGTTAGAGAAGCCTCATGATGTGGCATCATGTGGACGTACTGGAGTGCACGTACTGGGAACTGGTCGCACCCATGCAGCCGTTTGTGAACGAAAGTGGCCACGGGAAAGATGGGCATACGGATAACTACCAAATAGCCGGATAAAAACTAGTACTATTAATAGTATGATACTTTCAAATGCCCCAGGAAGGGAAAGAAAGGGTCAAACTTTAGAGCCTGTTCCAAGCAGAATTCGAAAATCGCGTGACAAAATACACCTTCCCATTTTTTAGCCATTTTACGGCCATGATTGATTGGACATAAATCGTGTCCAGAAAATGCTAAGTGATTGGACAACATAGTACTTCGAAGTATTGCACCAAGGGCTTTCACTGGCTCCCGTAGCCAAGGTCCAAGCCGAGGTCCGTCGTTGCGCTTAAAAAATACCCAACGGGGTCGACCGTCAGATCTCTAGTCACTACTTCTTCAGCATCGCCAGTCGCCTACACGTATGAGCTGGTGATTGCGCTTCCGCACTGTGGTTATCTGTGTTCATGTCGGCCCTCAATATTCAACCTCAGACAGCGTAGGATCAATACTTGGCTGGTGAGGCGATAATTTCAGCCAGTAGTTTGGTGCGGCGATGGGCTGTCGAAAATGGGATGAAATGGGGTCTTGCACCCCATTTTGAAAAGTGGATTTCGGAATGAGTTGGGGAGCGTTTTGATTGGATAATTGAAAACTACTTGGAACAGGCTCTTATGCAGCGATAGATATTGAGCATTTCACCCAAATTTGTACTTGTGATTCATTTCGCCCAAATAGCATTCAATTCCCCTTGATCCAATTGAAGCTTGTACGAACTATACTGTAAGCTTAACGTTATACTGTATAGAGATTAGTCTTTACTTCGAAGCATATGGTTAGCCCAAGGCGGAGGGACTATGTCGAGCCAAGCGTTTGGATTGGCAGAAATTCACCAGAGCGTGACATGATTGGCTTAGGCGGTTCTTTCGGGGAAGATTTAGCCCATGTCCGAGAATGAGACGTATCCGGATAAATAATTTTCGCAATCCAAAAAATGTCGATCAATAATTTTTCGTTTGTGATGAAAATGAATGCCAGACATGAACGGAATATCCCCGGCGTAGATTGGATGGACCATCCACGCCTGAAAACTCGCATCCATGTCTGAGTTATTCCGGAAAGCGGAAAACGATTTTGTTATCCGGATAATTTGGGGGTAACAACCAATCAAAAGCTCGGAATTTCTTGAAACATGGAGGGTCCAGTTTCGAATCGATTTGACAATATACTTCGAAGTATTAATACCATATGTATTTGGAAGATTTTGGAGATGGTTCTCTTTTACTTTTTCCGTAAACATTGAAAGCAAAGGAAAAGCAAGGAATTTTATACTAGTATTGCCGTTGTTGGAGAAAACATTATTATCCCTCTACCTGTACCAGATGGAGCCAAATTCGTGGACTTCGTGGATGATCGGCGAGGTCAGGTGAAATGGTCCAATGGGTCATTCGGCGTTGTAGCATTGGGGCTGTAGTAGGGACGACAGAGGAATACGAAGGATCCAAATGATTGAGACTCATGTTGTGTAAGTTCAGTTGTACTATCTGTAGGGCGTTCAGACAGGCGTTCTTCAAATTTCAAGGCGTTCTTCAAATTTCCCAATTTTCCATGGTTCGTTCAATTGAGCACAAATAGAGCTGAGACATATGATTGGCTAATATCCACTTCATGCTTCCCTAAGAAAATCGAATGGATTTCATCCAATCAGCGACAAATAATTTTGGAGCGACCAATGGCATAGATTGGTGCCCGGTTCGGTCGGCGAGATTCGATCGAACGGGTCCTGAAAGTAATATAAGGTACCGAATATGCTTCCCTGGCTCCGTTGTAGGTTCATCCTCGACAGCGGTGTCGATCAAATGGGTGGGTGTTGTGACTGGGGCATCACTTGGTGCAGTTGTGGAGGGTGCCGTCGTGATCGTGGGGACAGAAGGGAGCGCCCGTGGTGGTCGGAGGCGATAAAGTAGACGGTTCAGAGGTGCCGGAGCTGCCGTGTCGCTGTGGTTGGTGGTGTAGAAGTCCCCTGTGTGTCTATTATACATAATTAATTTATGCTAACAAATCTCTATATTACTGAAGGAAAATTATACTGAAAGATATTACATGACATCAACCTCAACAGGCAACTCGAAAGGTTATGGCATATGCACCCACGCCGCCATTCGCGCAATATGGTGCCGAAGCTTGTTCAAAGGCTAGAACTATGCATCGTTTAGCCTCAGGCGCGATTTCGTCATGGACAGACACGGCGTTCGGTTTCTTTTGAGGATGGTTGGTCATAAATATAGTGTCATAGAAGCGAGAGAGCCTTGATAGTTAGTGCTTAAGGGTATTATTAGAACAACCAGATGAACAAGTGGGTGGCGCGATGGGGAGGTATAAGGTTTGATTCTCTAGCGGGTGATTGAATATTTTGCAATTTTGAAGGCCATTTTCCAAATTTGATACTATTAATAGTAACTTCTACCAGTAGAGTGTGCGCATCTTGAGCTTCTATTTCCACCAATCAGATACGAAAACGAGTAAATTTGAGACAACATACTCCATTTTGGAGTCTAACATGACAGCTATTTTGGACCAGAGTAGTATGACGACACAAGCACAAACTTCGAGCGATACCCTTGAATCGCGCGATATCCTTGAATCGCGCGGGAGAATAGGGCGCGGCGCCTACCAGTATCGGATGGTGGTGGCGTGGCCGCATCACTTCCATATTTGTGCGGCTGAATAGGGCCAACGAGGACTTTAAGTGGAAACGACTGGTGCTGAAAGTTGTTGGCAACCTGGACTTCCGATGGGTACACGAACCACCGCAGCGCCTCCTTGGTGGCCTCCATCTGGAATTCTGGACCACAACACGCATCGGCCAAGGCTTGGTCCGCCAGAATATGGGCCTGGTCCAAGTACTCATTGTACGTGGCAAGAGGTGACGCGGGAACGTCAGGTCCAGCATTCTTCTCAGTAAAAAAGGCGGCCTTGATGAGCCATTTTCGCGTCGGAAACGTTGTTACGCGCGTTCGGTGCTTCCACTCGCCAGAAGCGTGGTTGAATTCATATTGAGGTAGAAATTTCCAGCCTTCGGTTGCCACAAAATCCATCGCCGCCAATACGTAGTCGACTTCTGTGTCGTCCATGGCGTAGGGAAAGCTCACGCGCGACATGCCAGGACGCAGCAGCTTAGACTCGTCTTTCAGCGCAGCTTTCAACGCTTCATGGTCGCTGGAAGTGAGGCCTAGAAGTCGCGAGCCGTACGGTCCGGCACACTGGCAGCCCCCGCGGGACTGGATGCCAAAAACATCGTTCAGTAGCGCGCACACAAAGTTGTAGTGCAGGAATCGAGACCCGGCTCGGATGAGGAACGAAAAGATAGGCAGGCGGGTCACCGTGGCATGTCTATCACAAAGCTACGCATCAGATATATGCTGAAAGCATACAGCATATGTTGCACAACGTGGCGGCGTACCCTAATAAGACAATGTGGCTGTGGTTTTGCAGGCGGGAGATCACTCGTTGGACGTGGCGGTGTTCGATGTCGAGGATCGTTTCGTGGCCGATGCGCTGCTTGATTTCAAATGCCAGCCCGAGCCGGATAGAGCCCAACGTGTCGGGGGTGCCGCCCTCCTCCCTCGCTTCAGCACTCGACACGTACCTGTGGTCTTCTGTTGTCACGTAAAACACCGTGCCGCCGCCAGGAACCGTGGGAACGTCCCCAATCAGGCGCTTCTTCACGACCAACACACCCGGGGTGCCCGGCCCGCCGAGGAACTTGTGTCCCGATAGAAAGATCGCGTCTTTGTACACGAACGGTTGCAACGCTTCGTCGACATTGAGTTTGGGATTCATGTCCAAGGGTACATACGGCGCGGCCGCCGCGTAGTCCCAAAACGACAGCGCTCCATGTTGATGCAGGATGCACGTGATGGCATCGACGTCCGTGAGCACCCCCGTCAAGTTGGACGCTGCCGAGAACGACCCAATTCTCATGGGTCGGTTTTTGTGCTTGACCAGCTCGAGCTCCAACATGGCCAAGTCGACGGCGCCGTCGGCGGTTTCGGCGATCTGGACGACGTCGGCGTCGCTCTCTCGCCATGGCAAGATGTTCGAAAGGTGCTCAAAGGGGCCGACAAACACGACGGGTTTCATCTGACGGCTCTTGGGGCGACGAACGTGGAGTCCGAGCGCTTGCACGAGCTTGTGGATGGCGCTGGTACTACCACTCCCCGTGAATAAGACCAGGTCTTCGTCGTCGTCGGCGTTGACGCATTGCGCAATGATCTGGCGGGCCTCCTCACGAAAGCACGTGGACTGCAGTCCTGTGATCGAGGTCGTGGTGTGGGTGTTGGCGTATTGTGGCATCACGTCCTTCTGGATAAAATCTTCGATGCATTTCAAGGATCGACCACTCGCGGTGTAGTCTGCATACACGAGGGGGCGCGACCCGAACGGGGTATCGATGACGCTGTTTCGACCAATCACACCCGACCGGATGCGGGTCAAGAGCTGCTCGCCACGCAGGTGGAGTCCCACTGTCTCATCCAAATCAGTGGACTTTTCTGCGACAGAGTGGACTACTTGCTCGAGTGGGTGTGGTGTTTCGATGATGTTGTTTCGACCAATCACGCCCAACCGGACGCGGGTCAATGGCTGCTCACCATGTAGGAGCCCCACTGTCTCGTCAACATTGGCGGACTTTGCCCCTACTGCGACAGAGTGGACTTGCTCGAGTGGGTGTGGTGTTGGTGATGGCTTCGAGGACGCGGTCCGACGGACGTCATCTTTTGGTTCCACGACGAAAAATGCCATGCTTTTGTGCGATGACTCTGAGACCTAAAAAATTGGAAAGTGAGAACCACGATCCAACGTCAGTCATGGTATGTATTTTCAGCCACCGTTACTACTTTACTTGTTAACTATGTTAGTTTCGAACAAAATATTATATATATGTATGCAACAAGTCATCATGGAATCTGACAGTTGTCTCCTAATCATTCTACAGATGATTCGATGTTTTCTCCTGCATTGTTGGGCAGAACAGCTGAAGTGCCAAGTGGCATGGGCTTGGATCGGCCTTTGCATGAGGCCAAGGTGATGATTCCTCGCTTTGATTCCCAGTATCTGCTTCCAGATTGTGGTGCGTTTTAGGTGGGGAGAAGGTGTCGATTGCAGATGCCGTTGTCTCGTCGCCAGTTGATTCGGACTACCATGTGCCGTATCCGAATCCGTATAAATACCCCAGAGACGTTGTTTTCGCTCCGGACATACAAAACTTAGTATTAGTGGATGCTTGTGTTTGCCTCAAATATATTAAGTATACAAAACTACCAATAGATACAGGTTAACAACACTCAAAGAGCATCTATTCCTGTTATATTAATATTGCGATGTAGTACACTCGAGTACTAGTATACAAACATAAAGATGATTACATGCACAAAGGTAAGGTCGGTCAATGGTCCAATGAAAGCTGCATCATACAGTACTGTAATCATCGAGATACTAGTAGGGGATGAATGATTGTTCAATTGCGCGACTATTTATCAGGACGACAAGACTTCATACCCACACCTTCTCTACTGATTGCTATGTATGCTTGCAGTTTTATTGTAATTATTCCATCCATTTGGAAGAAATGCGAGATGTATACGTACTCTATGCAGGTACCGTCATTTAAAAGGACTTGTCGAAACAAGAACTGACTTAGTATACTGACTGATTCATGAACGTAGATGGCCAGTTTATGGTGCACGGGACAGTTTAAGATGCACTCAAATTGGCCAATGGAATAGCTTGATTTTTGGAATAGCCAATCCAATCACTAGAAAAATGAAATCGCCAAAAAATAAGCAAAACCCGCATACATATTGTAAGCTTTGGCCGTGCACCATAAACTGTCCCTCCTATTTTGCCTTGACATGAGCGGAAATCGAAGTAAATGAACGTAAGCTGAAGTCCATTTAAGCCGATTAAATAACCACAATAATGCCCAACCTTTCGGCTTCATGCAGCATTTTTCAGAATTTATAATCCCGTTCCTAAGAGACGAGTAAGCTGCATTCTACGACGAGGTCACCATAAATTGGCCATCTACGTCACACAAAAAATAATGTCATCACTTCATGCAACTACTTTTGCATATAATGTTACAGTAGAGAGCGTGTACTGCGCATTCTTCATTAAAGTCGTATCATAATGGCAAGTTCAATGTACTCGAAGTTCTACCGGTATCAATGTACCCTTACACACTACGCATGGACGTCTGCTCGCAATCAAGAAGAACGCCCACCAATACAGACCTCAACTTATTAATGCGCTCGTGTCCCTACTATTATAGTGTGTAGTATATAGTTCATCGCAATGTTAAATTTATTAGAGAGGTTTTGCAAGTGTTCGTTGGCGGTCGCGTTCCATTTATCTGCCAAGACCTGTCAAACCTTATGTAGAACGCGAACGGGTCCTCATAGCAGATTGCCATTCCGCGAAAAGTGCAGATCTCATGGACTGGCATTCCAGATTTGCTCTGTGATAACTGCATATGATCGGCAGTTCTTGGCCAATCAAGAACTGCACGACCCTCCAACCAAACTGGGCACGTCAGGATTAAGCGGCAGATGGTGCAGTTCTTGATTGGCATGGAGACACCTCAGCGCCGCCGCGTCTCCAACGACAAAGAAGATGTCATGCTTCTTCATCAGGTGAATGTTGACCGCCCATCCAAGCGAAGAAATGCGAGGTAATGAAGCGCGTTGGCGCCGAACACAGACTTTATAACTTTGAAACCCTCTGAGACCCCCTATAAGGGGAGTTTTCGGACACCCACTTTTGAGATGAATTTTGACGTACTAATCTCCAAATAAAAGTGAAAAACGTAATTTTCTGTTTTGCGAAGTTGAGATATTAGGAGATGGAATAGAACCCTTTCGAAGGAGCAATTGCGGGCACGGCAGTACGGATACCAAACGATTCGTGATTACCTCTGTTTTAATGACATACACACCAATAATCAGTACTATTAACTGCAAGGCAATATAGTGACTGGGCGTCCATAGAAGGCTCATTGCTCCTGAAATGGATGGATGGTGCGCTAACATCGACCATTATCCGGATGAAATTCTGTCTTCCTCCGATTTTAAACAGAGGGAGATTCACTGTATCTCCAAATCGATTTGAGATAAGAACAATTTGCTGAGGCGTGCTACTTCGATGCAAGCCACTCCTTGCCTTCGTAGCCACGCCTTTCAGAACGTCCTACAGATAGAACAGCTGAAGCTGAACTAACACAACATGAGTTTCAATCAATTCAATGCTTCGTATCTCTCTGTCATCCCAAATACTGTAGCCCCAACGCTACTACGGCGAATGACCCATGGGACGACTTCACCCCGACCTCGTCGATCGTCCACGAAGTCAACGAATTAGTCTACGGATAGGGAAAAATTGTTTTCTCCGAAATCGACGACATAAGTAAGATCCCTTGCTTTTACTTTGCTTTCAATGTTTACGGAAAAAGAAAAAGTGAAGTCATCTCCGAAATCTCCCTACAATTTCAAGTCACACGATTTACATTTTTTCTCCTGATTTGAAATCACTATTATAATGCGAATTTTGATAAGAGGGACATCTCCATCCAAGGGTGCCACTTTTTGACACCCTTGGTTACAGTATTTGAGTTTGGATTGTCTTACAGTTATAATAATAATCCAAACTTACAGTTAATTAACCAAGGGTGGAACGGTACTACGTAGTATGTTTGATATTCCGTTCGAACTGCCTCTGACACAAAAAGCATGATTCGGAGAAGCTCTATTGTCTACGAGAGTTCAGATAATACTTTCATATCCATGAACATACACAGCACACTAGGACCAAGTCAGTCGAGGAGTTGAGCGTGGATGCTGTACAGCGCAAATAGAATGCTCGCAAACAGAAGGGTGTCCACTCGACCGAGCAACCCTGCATGGCCATGAATGAGTCGGCTGGAATCCTTCACATTGGCCGGGCGCTTGATCAAGCTTTCAAACAGGTCGCTACATGTCAAGTACTACAATCAGTTGGTACTAGTACTCGCCAAAAAAGACCACGTGGGCCCCAGTCGCATCGGCTGAACACGGTGACGGCCGTGGTGACGACGAGAATCTTTGTCACCGACACCGTGGACATGGTGATGCCCAGCACATTGGTGACAATGACCATGGCAATCAACGCACACAT